TGGATTGGAAGTGGAGCACCAGGCATTGTGGTACAGTGGATTGAGCTGCCTCCTAGACAGTGACATCACTTATCAGAGCACCAGTTTGAGTCCTGGCTGCTCCACCTCTGATACTGCTCCCTGCTAATGCACCAGGAAAAGCAGCGGAAGAAGGCCCAAGTACTTGGGTCCCTATCAACCATGTGGGAGACCTGGATGAAATTCTAGGCTTCTAGCTTTGACCTGGCCCAGCCTGGGCCATTGCGGCTATTTGGCAAATGAACCAATGGATTGAAGATCACTTTCTCTCTCTCTCTGTCTTTTCTGTTTCTGTCACTCTTCCTTTCATATAAATAACAAACTTGTCTTTAAAATAAAAAGAATAAAAATCATTCTTGACAATTGTTACAGATCTGGAAGGGAATATACACGTCCTTTAGTTCTTTTGCTAATTTTGCATGTTTCACTCATTTACTCCTTTTTAAAAAAAAAAAAGATTTATTTATTTATTTGAAAGTCAGAGTTACAGAAAGAGAGAGAGAGAGAGAGAGAGAGAGGGAGGGAGGGAGGGAGGGAGAGGTCTTCCATCCACTGGTTCACTCCCCAGTTGGCTGCAATGGCTGGAGATGTGCCAGGAGCCAGGAGCTTCCTCCAGGTCTCCAACGCAGGTGCAGGGGCCCAAGGACTTGGGCCATCTTTACTGCTTTCCCAGGCCACAGCAGAGAGCTCAATTGGAAGTGTAGTGACCGGGACTCTAACTGGTGCCCATATGAGGTGCCGGCACTGCAGGTGGCAGCTTTACCCACTACGCTGGGCCCCTCACTCATTTACTCTTTTAGCCTTGTTGCCAGTCTGTCGATGGCTCAAGTTCAAATTTCCTTCACTCTACTCAGACAAGCATTGGAGTGTTCCCAGTTGAGAGACCATCCATGGCTTTGTGGAACACTCCAGAGCACAAATTACAAAGCTCCAGCTTTGGTGGCTGGTGTTGTACCTCAGCAGATTAAGCCACTGCCTGTGATGGTAGGCATTCCATATTGAACTGCTGGTTCGAGCTCTGGCTGCTCCATTTCTGATCTAGCTCCTTGCTAATGCACCTGGGAAAGCAGAGGCAGAAGGCCCAGGAGGAAGATGGTCTCCCTGCTACTCACGTGGAAGACCTGGATGGAGTTCCAGGTTCCTGGCTTTGGCCTGACCCAGCCCTAGCCATTGTGCCGCTTGGGGAGTGAACCAGCAGGTGGCAGATTTTTTTTTGTGTGTGTGTGTGTCTCTGTCTTCCTCCTCCTCTACCTCCTCCTCCTCCTCCTCCTCCTCCTCTTTCTCTCTCTTTTCCTCTCTCTTTGTTACCTTTCAAATAAATCTTTGAAAGAGTTGAAAAAACAACAACAAAGCTCCAGGTTATTCATAGTTATTTTTAATATTTATTTTAGTTATTTGAAAGACAGAGTTAGAGAGAGAGGTAGAGACATAGAGAGAGAAGTCTTCCATCCACTGTTCACTCCTCAAATGGCCGCAACAGCCAGTGCTGAGCCGATCTGAAGCCAGGAGCCAGAAACTTCTTCTGGGTCTCTGATGTGGGTGCAGGGACCCAAGGACTTGGGCCATCAGCTGCTTTACCAGATGCATTAACACGGAGCTGGATTGAAGTGGAGCAGCTGGGACTCGAACTGGCACCTATGTGTGATGCTAGCACTGCAGGCTGGGGCTTTAACCCATTATGCCACAGTGCTGGCCCCTATTCACAATTGTTAACATGGTTATTCATTGAGGACATCCCAGCCACTTCTCCTTCCAAGGAGAGCCCATGATGTCATTCCTTTCCTTAGGTTGGTGGCACAGCTCTCTCAATTGCTGCTTCCCCAGGGCACAGAGCTGGCAGGTGCATGCTGGGGACAGGGGACTTGAGACTTAGAGAGCTAGATTCCTTACAATGATTATAAGTGTGCAAAAAGTCAAGTATGAGCTCACTCTGTCTAGGCTTGGAGGAGCTGGAAGCTGAACTCCTGGATGTTAACTAACAGTGGCCTTCTTTGGGAGAAGGTACATGCATCCTTCAGTTCTGTTAATCTGCGTGTTTAACTTTTCTGTCATGAACACATTGCTTTTCTAATAAGAAACAAAGAGAGCTAGGACCCAGTCTTATTATATATTTAAGTAACTGATGTTTTGTGGGTTTAACAGTGCCAACACACACATAACACACACACACAGAGAGAGAGAGAGAGAGAGAAAGAGACAGAGAGAGAGAGACTCTATCCCTAAATTCTGAAATAAAAAAAAAAAAAACCTGACAATTTCTCAGAGAGGTTTCTCAGAGTTATAAGTATAGCACACCAGTGACAGGACAATGTGTTTTTTAGTCCAGTCAATTTCTTCAACAGGTCTTCAGGTTGATCAAAATACCACACTTTGGAAATGCACAAACCTTTTTTCTTTAGCATCTACAGCACCAGTCACCTACACAGGGGTAAGGGTGGGAAGGAAAGACAAGAATACCTCATCCCATTGTTACCTCTGGGGTTGTGGGGCAGGTGCAAGATCACGTGCTCATAGGAGGCATGGCCCCGGTGACTCAGAAAAAGGTGGGGTGCAGCTTGTTATTTTAATGTTGAAAATATACACTGCAACCATTGGAATGGCTTTTCTGCACTCACTGTTGTTTAAGTTACAGCCGGCTTTTTTAAAAAACAAATATTTATTTATTTATTTGAGAGGCAGAGTTACAGGCAGATGGAGAGACAGAGACAGAGAGAGGGAGGAAGGGAAAGAGGGAGGGAGGGAGGGAGGGAGAGAGAGAGATCTTCCATCTCTTCCATCCACTGGTTCACTCCCCATATGTCCATGACAGCTGGAGCTGGGCTGATCTGAAGCGAGGAACCAGGAGCATCTTCTGGGTTTCCCGTGTGGGAGCAGGGGCGCAAACACTTGGGTCATCTTCCACTGCATTCCTAGGTTGTCAGCAGGGAGCTGGATTGGAAATGGAGCAGCCAGGACTCAAACTGGTACCCACATGGGATGCCAGTGCTGCAGGCTGAAGTTTAACCTACTGTGCTACAGCTCCATCCCCAAAGTTATAGTAGACTGTTGTCTCCTTTAACAGCAGCAGCAACAACGGGAAACGTCTCTTGCCTGCTATTCCCAGGGCTTCAGTCAGTCTGATCAGAGTTCTTCATGGCCATATGCCCCCTGTCCAGATGCACCTTCCCTGCTGGCCCCAGCCAGACATCGTCTTGCTTTCTGTCTTCTCTGAGGGGCTTCAGGCTCTGAGAGCTATCAGGCTCTCCTGGGACAAAAGAAAATGAGCAGCCATAGAGAGAGGCAGGGTTTCAGGCCAGCGCCATGGCTCATTAGGCTAATCCTCCACCTGCGGCACCGGCACCCTGGGTTGTAGTCCCAGTTGGGGCGCCGGTCCTGTCCCAGTTGCTCCTCTTCCAGGCCAGCTCTCTGCTGTGGCCCGGGAGTGCAGTGGAGGATGGCCCAAGTGCTTGGGCCCTGCACCCGCATGGGAGACCAGGAGAAGCACCTGGCTCCTGGCTTCAGATCAGCGCAATGTGCCGGCCGCAGCGCGCCGGCCGTGGCGGCCATTGCAGGGTGAACCAACGGCAAAGGAAGACCTTTCTCTCTGTCTCTCTCTCTCATTGTCCACTCTGCCTGTCAAAAATAAATAAATAAAAAATAAATTCCTCTACTTTATCTTGTTCTGTAACCCTCTGCTTGTATCTGGTTTCCTTCTTTTACCCTAAATGTGTAATTATTTCCCAGTGCAGAAAATCTTGCCTTCTCCCTCTTTCCTTGGAGCTCCATCCTGCCCTTCACAACAGATCTCTTGGGAAGAGCCCACATTTTGTGTCTCTGTGTCCTCGACTGCTTTTACTTCCCATGAAGGCCCAGCAGTCTACCAAAACTGCTCCTAAGGTCACCAATGACCTCTTAGCTGCAGATTATTAAATGGTATCTTTCTAGTCTTCCCTGAATTGGCCTGCCTCCCGATGGTTGACTCGTTTTTGTAATTCCTCTGTAAAACCTTGGAGATGTTGTGGGTATTTCTTGTTTCCTGCTGCTTTCCAGATGCTTCTTCTGGCCGCTCTTCATCTAACCAAGCCTTCAATATCCGTATGCCCCAAGTTTTGTCCTTGGCCCTGCTGCTTGGTCTTCCTGCCCATTTGGTTCCTTCCATAAGTTTTTTGGTCAGAGGAGGTTTTACTGTGACTGAAGGCTGCAGAGAGAGAGAGAGAGAGAGAGAGGCCTATAATAGAGGTAGAGGCAGAGACAGAGAGAGGGAACATGGTGGCAGGGATCCAGTTATTGGAATCATCATCTGCTGTTTTCCGGGATGCACATTACAGAAAGCTGGAATCAGAAGCAGAGCCAGGACTCAAACCTAAGCACTAGGGATGTGGGTATCCCAAATGACGTCTCAACCACTGTGGCAAATTCACAACCCAAGGAATAGCTTTCTAATGGTGGAAATTCAGGTGTTGAACTCTTGATAGAGGGATTGGATGCAAGGGGGTAATTGTGGGTAACCCTCAGGTTCTTCTCTGCTGTGTCTCATCAAGACTATGTACCCACAGGATTGCTCCATGTGATATGCCAGAGTCTCCCAAAATGACTCATGTAGCTCTGATTTATTTGTCGCTACTCTACAGGACTGTAGGGAAATACAGCCAGCCTTCCGTATCGCTGGTTTCCCATCTGCAGATTCAGCCAACCATAGATTGAAAATTTTAATCTCATCTGTACTGAGCAAATTCAGACTTTTTTTCCTTGTCATTATTCGCTACACAATACAGTAGAACAACTATTTACATGGTATTAAGTATTATAGATAATCTAGAGATGATTTAAATATATGCGGAGGTTCTGTGCAAATACTATACCATATTATAGGATTTGAGCATCTGCGGATCTTGGTATCTGCAGGTCCTGAACTGATCCTCAGGGACACCAAGTGACAACTGTGTGACCATATCCATTCTGCTGCTAAGATGCATTCCCCACTTGGGGATTGTTTCCCACAGTGCTGCTGAAATGCTCTCATGTGTGTCTCCTCGTACACCTGCAGGGGTTGCTCCAGGGTCTATGTGCATCGTGAACTGGAACAGGTAAGGCCAAATTGCTCACACAGGTTTTACCAATGCGCACCTGGGTCCCCATCATTCTGAATGAAAGGAAGATGTACAAACCCTGCCCTCCTCAGGCCAGCAGCCCTCACTTCCTCTTCTTTGCTCCCAGGCTCCTGGGTGCTGTGGGTGCACCCCACATGGCTATGCAGAAACCCCTTTCCTGGGCCCTTGGTCCTGCTTGAGCACATGAGGCGAGGTCTCCATGCTCCACAGTCAGGCTCTTCCAACTTCTTCAGGATCAGAACTTTCTCTCTTGAGTGCCTGCTCCCCAGTACAAATGCAAATGTAGGGCTCCTTTTCCACCAGACATGAAAAAGTTTTTTTTCTTTTTCCTGAAGTCTCTTTCTTGGTCTATAATATTTTTTAAAAATTATTTAATGCAGTGCTTCCTCAGGTGTAAGGATTGCTCCCCATGCAGTGTAGCCTGGCTCTTCTCAAAGCCAGGGTGGACATCTGGAAGCAATGGAGCCACAGAAGGCCCTACAAGGGAGGATGGTTCCCATGAGAAGAGTCCTGTTGCTTGCCAGGCATACCTGAAAGTTCACCAGCAGGCAGTTTCTGCATATGAGATTATTTTGTGTATGCTCACAGGAGTATGTGTGGTTTAAAGGAACACCCAGGACACTTATCCATCAGATGACAAATTCCTTTGTCATGGGAGTAATAAACCCAATGAGTTTGTCCATTTTACCAAAGCTTTCCTTTAGTAAGGCAAATGCTATAGAGAGAAACCCACAGTGACTGAGGGCAGATCAAAGACATTGGTAGAACTGGAGGCAAGAACAGTGACATTCTTAGCCTAGTCCATACTTTGGCTTACAATATCTATGAGAACTACCACCATGGTATTGAATGCAACAGCAGTTACCTCCTTCATGTAGAGTCTAGTGTTTGGCTTCCTATAGTCAAGACTTGGTGGCCATGCAGGATTGCTGACCTGGCTTCTGGAAGTGAGAGAACTGCAGATTTGGTTTGGCAAGGCCATTGCCCTCTGAGTGCTTCAACCAGAGCAACAGTCTGACCGCAGAACCATCCAGATGTCAGTCAGGTCAGTGTGGTAAAGGTTGGCATCTGAGATCAGCAGGCATGGAGGATTGGCTTCCTGGCTCCGGAATGTCACGATCACTATGGGTTACATAAGGATCATCTTGCCTGACAGCCCTGACCTGAAGGGTGAGCCCTGCTGGTTCTGTTCCTTCAGGAGCTGATCGTGGCTCAGCATCTCACCGTGGCTGTATCCATTTCCACAGTGAGGCTGGGAATCTCCCTGGATGTGTCACTGCATATTTCACAAAGAAGGCTGGAATGCTGGTGGTAGTGTTGCCCCATGACTGGCTGGACGCCCGCAGGGTCTAGGTGTGATCACCACTGGTCCCAATAATAGACCAGCCCCTCTACTTCTGCCTCTTCCTTGTTGGGAGAGAGAATCATCCTCTTTCTCAACAGGGGAGGTGTGATACAGAGGGTATAGTCTGCTCTCAAGGAACCTGGAACAAGTTGAGGGCAGCTGAGTTGGTAAGGAACCCCTGGGTGACAGAGGAGACTGAACTGCAGATTCTGTAGACACAGTCCACTCCCACACTCAACCAGGATTGCTGAGGAGTGGCCTGTCTTCACCAAGGGGCCAAGAGCTGCCACCTCCCCTGCCGCTCGCTTTTTTGAACATTAGTTATAAAGTAAATGGCAGATACTTAAAGCCTACAATGTGATGAGTTTTGATGCATGTCCACCCCTGTGGAACAATCAGCATAGTCAAGACAATGACCATATCCGTAACTTGTTTCCTTGTGCCCATTTGAAATCCTCTCTTCCTGCTCCACTCCCAGCCAATCACTGACCTGCTGGCAGTCACTATAGTTTAGTTTGCACTGTTTAAAACTGTGTATGTGTGGAATCATACAGTATATACACTAATTTTGTCTGTCTTCCTTCACTCAACATTATTTTAAGGATCATCTGTGTCAGTGTTTGTATAAACAGATTATGCAATCTTCATTGATGAGTAGTATTTCATCATATGGATAGACTACCTTTTTTTTTAAAAAAGATTTATTTATTTATTTGAAAGTCAGAGTTACACAGAGAAAGAAGAAAAAGCAGAGAGAGAGAGAGAGAGGTCTTCCATATACTGGTTCACTCTCCAGCTGGCCACAATGGCCGGAGCTGCGCCAATCCGAAGCCAGGAGCCCGGAGCCCAAGGACTTGGGCCATCTTCTACTGCTTTTACAGGCCATAGCAGAGAGCTGGATTGGAAGTGGAGAAGCTGGGTCTTGAACCGGCCGGCACTGCAGGTGATGGCTTTAACTGCTACACCACGGCGCCAGCCCCCACTACCTTTTGTTTATCCATTGATTTGCTGATGGACCTTTGAGTTACTTCTAATTTTAGAGCTATTACAAATAAAGCCACTACAAATATTCATGTACAAGTGTTTTTGTGGAATATATGGTTTTTTAAAGATATATTTTATTTATTTGAAAGAATTATAGGAAGAAGTAGAGATAGAGAGAGAGATCGTCCATCCACTGGTTCACTCCCCAAATGGCCTCAATGGCTGGAGTTGAGCCGATCTAAAGCCAGGAGCCAGGAGCTTCTTCTGAGTCTCCTACGGGGGTGCAGGGGCCCAAGCACTTGAGCCAACCTCTGCTGCTTTCCCAGGCACATTAGCAGGGAACTGGATCAGAAGTGGAGCAACTGGGGCTTTAACTGGCACCCATATGGGATGCTGGCACTGCAGGTCAGGGCTTTAACCCACTGTACCACAATGCCAGCTGCAGCACCAACCTTGGAATATGTGTTTTTATTCCTCTTAAGTAAGTACCTAAAAGTGGGATGACTGGCTCATATGGTAGGTATATATTTAACTTTTAGAGAAATTGCCAAGCTCTTCTCCAAAGTGGTTGAATCATTTCATATCCTCTCCAGCAATTTATGAGAGTTACAGGTGCTCCATGTTCTTGTCAATGTTTGGTATAGGGAGTTTTTAAAATTGTAGCCATTCTAGTGGGTGTATACTAGTATCTCACTGTGGTTTTAATCTGCATTTCCCTAATGATTAATTATTTGAGTGTCTTTTCATGTGCTTACTTGCCATCCTTGTATCTTGTTGGTAACATGTTTCTTCAGGGTCTGGCATTGTGGCACAGTGGGTTAAGCTGCTACCTTTGATGCTAGTATCCCATATTGGTGTGTCAATTTGAGTCTTGATTGCTCTGCTTCCCTTCCTCCATTTATTTCCTTGCTTCCTTCCTAATGTTTATTTTATTTGAAAGGCAGAGTTACAGAGGGAGATCTGTCCACTGGTTACTCCCCCAATGGTTGCATCAGCCAAGGCTAGCCAGGCTGAAACCAGGAGCCAGGAGCTACATCTGGGTTTCCCCCATTGATGCAGGGGCCCAAGCACTTGGGCCATCCTATGCTGCTTTCCCAGACATCCAGGAGCTGGATCAGAAATGGAGCAGCCAGGACTTGGGGCAGTGCCCCCGTGGGCTGTGGTTTTACCCACTAAGCCACAATGCCAGCCTCTCTGCTTTTGATCCAGTTCCCTGCTAATGCACCTCGGGAAGCAGTGGAAGATGGCTCAAGTGCTTGGGCCCCTGCCACCCAGGTAGGAGACTCAGATGGAATTCTGAGTTAGGCTTCTGGCTTAGGCTGGACCCAGCCCTGACTGCTTTGGCCATTTGGGGAATGAACTAGCCAATAGAAGATTTCTGCTTCTCCCTCTTTCTCTGTCAGTCTCTTTTGAAATAAATAAATCTTTTTCATTTTTTAAGTTGGGTTGTTTATCTTCTATAATTCAATTATAAGATATTTTATATAAATATTAAAAAATTATAAATGCAGCAGAGGCTTGTAGTTTTATACATATAATTCAATAATGAATATATTTATTTACTATAGATATATACATACATATATATATATATACATGAGGGAATTTTGGAAAACTTCATAGAAAAATGGAATTAAAAGAAAAGCTTATGTTGGTGCAAAAAGTTTTTGAAATCCATGCAAACTTGGCCGGCGCTGCGGCTCACTAGACTAATCCTCTGCCTTGCGGCGCAGGCACACCGGGTTCTAGTCCCGGTCGGGGCGCTGGATTCTGTCCCGGTTGCCCCTCTTCCAGGCCAGCTCTCTGCTGTGGCCCGGGAGTGCAGTGGAGGATGGCCCAGGTCCTTGGGCCCTGCACCCCATGGAAGACCAGGATAAGTACCTCACTCCTGCCATCAGATCAGTGCGGTGCGCCGGCCATTGGAGGGTGAACCAATGGCAAAGGAAGACCTTTCTCTCTGTCTCTCTCTCTCACTGTCCACTCTGCCTGTCAAAAAAAAAAATCCATGCATACTTTTTCATAATATACATTTTCGCTAAACAATTTGAAGATTCCTTGTATTTCAAATATTTGCAAATATTTCCTCTCAGGCTTTGACTTACCTTTTCATTTTTGTTGCATTGTATTTTGAAGTACAAAAGCTTTAAAAATTTATTGATTTTCATTTTTTATTTGAAAGGCAGAGGGACAGAGATCTTCCATCTGCTGGTTCACTCCCCAAATGCCCACAGTAGCCAGAACAGGGCTAAGCTGAAGACAAAACCTCAGAATTTAATTTTGGTCTCTTACATGGGTCATGGGGACCCAAGTACTTGAGCCATCACCTTCTGCCTCCCGGGGTGGAAACTAGCAGAGGAAGCTGGAATTGGAAGCAGAGTTGAGACTCTAACCCTGGCACTCCAATATGGGATGCAGGCGTCCTAAGTGGCAGCTTAACTTCTGTGCCAAACAGCCACCCCCTGAAGTACAAAAGTTTTATTCCTTGATGAGGATTTTTAGATTAATGTATTGATCAGTATATCAAAATATATCAAATATTTAGAAGATTTTTAGATTAATATATTGATCAAAATATCAAAACTAATTTTTAGATCAAAATATATCTTTTGTATCTTATCCTTTTTATGTACTGTTTAGGGAATCTTTG